CCCTAATCTCTGCCATTAACATACAATTAAATAAAAAAGGTAAAGAAAGTAAAAACAGAGCAAATGTAAATACAATATACACTATTAGACATTGTTAAAAATAAGTAAAAACTCCATCCCATGTTTCGATTTAAAGCTTTCGTGACTGCAAGGATTCATCTTCTTTGGTTCTTTCGGTAGTGTCACGTAGAATGAGAATAAAATAATAAAGTAATGAAATAAAATAACGCTATTAAATTCTCACGACGTTTCGGCCACAACACAAGTGGCCTTCATCAGGTGAAGGGACGAGACTGTCCTCCAGACAGTCGCTGGAGCGCTGTCCTCCAGACAGTCTCGTCCCTTCACCTGATGAAGGCCACTTGTGTTGTGGCCGAAACGTCGTGAGAATTTAATAGCGTTATTTTATTTCATTACTTTATTATTTTATTCTCATTCTACGTGACTTTACCGAAAGAACCAAATAAGATCCATTCCATGTGTTCGTGACTTTTTTAATATTTTAGGCAGGAAATTCGTTTTCAAATTTAGATATTTTTTTTTCTGGGGGGGGGTGGGTGGAGACCCCCAGACTCCCTGGAAGATTCGGTCCCCCCCCCCAATGTTGACTCCATGGCTACGGCCTTGGGTGAGATTACCAAAGCGCGCCTACCCACGCGTGCCTTGTGGCGTAATGAGGACGTTAAAGAGCCCCCGGCAGAGGATGCCGGAGTGTTTTAACGATCTCTGCGAGCGTTCTATACGGTGGCCAACTTTCTCGTCTTTGTGCTGCACAGGGACAGCTGTCGTTAGGGGGGAGGGTCCCCTAGGCTGCATTTATTTGAATGCATATGCAGGCGATCATCGATCATGTATATACATAATCGATTTTATATATACAGGTAATTGAGTATATGTATATCATCGATTATGTATATACATGAAAGCAGCGATTATGTATATACAGGAGATAATCGATTATGCATATATACAGGAGATAATCGATTATGTACATGTAGAAGATAATCGATTATGTATACATCGATGTAATCTATTATGTACATTTAGGTGGTGATCTATTCAAATACAATAATCGATTACAATACATATATTGCCACAAGCACGTTCACCACAAGCACTGTGTGTGGTTAATGCAGATATGATCCCTTGCCAAAAGGTTTCAGTTTGGTGTTTTAACATCTTCACACAACTGGTTTTATTGCCAGAAAGGGGTAAAACTTATTATTATAGTTTGATATTGGCAGCTCTCAATGTCCTGATAGTGGCATTGTCTTCCATTATGAGGCTTTTTGGGGTTAGATCGTGTAAATATATAGATGTGTCGTTCAACCCGCCACCACCCGACACAGCCAACTCGTAAGGGTTGTGTCACGTAAACAGAACGTGGCCAATTCGTCACTAGTACAGCTCTCGTGTATAGTGTAGTGTATAGTAGTGTATAGTGCAGTGTATAGTAGTGTAGTGTATAGTAGTGTAGTGTATAGTGTAGTGTATAATGTAGTGTATAGTAGTGTAGTGTATAGTGTAGTATAGTGTAGTGTATAGTGAAGTGTATAGTGTAGTGTATAGTGTAGTGTATAGTTTAGTGTATAGTAGTGTCGTGTATAGTGTAGAGTAGTGTAGTGTATAGTAGTGTAGTGTATAGTGTAGTGTATAGTGTAGTGTATATTAGTGAAGTGTATAGTAGTGTATATTGTAGTGAAGTGTATGGTAGTGTAGTGTATAGTAGTGTAGTGTATAGTGTAGTGTATAATGTAGTGTATAGTGTAGTGTATAGTAGTGTATAATAGTGTAGTGTATAGTAGTGTATAGTGTAGTGTACAGTAGTGTATAGTGTAGTGTATAGTGTAGTGTATAGTGTAGCGTATAGTGTAGTGTATAGTAGTGTATAGTGTAGTGTATAGTGTAGTGTATAGTAGTGTATAGTGTAGTGTATAGTGTAGTGTATAGTAGTGTATAATAGTGTAGTGTATAGTAAGTAGTGTATAGTAGTGTATAATAGTATAGTGTATAGTATAGTGTATAGTAGTGTATAATAGTGTAGTGTATAGTAGTGTATAATAGTGCAGTGTATAATAGTGTACTGTATAGTGTAGTGTATAATAGTATAGTGTATAGTAGTGTATAATAGTGCAGTGTATAGTAGTGTAGTGTATAGTGTAGTGTATAAGTATAGTGTAGTGTATAATAGTGTAGTGTATAGTATAGTGTATAGTAGTGTATAGTAGTGTATAATAGTGTAGTGTATAGTAGTGTATAGTGAAGTGTATAGTTATGTGTATAGTGTAGTGTATAGTAGTGTGTAGTAGTGTAGTGTATAGTGAAGTGTATAGTGTAGTGTATAGTATTGTATAGTAGTGTAGTGTATAGTGTATAATAGTATAGTGTATAGTGTAGTGTATAGTAGTGTATAGCGTAGTGTATAGTGAAGTGTATAGTCGTGTAGTGTATAGTGTAGTGTATAGTAGTGTATAGTAGTGTAGTGTATAGTATATAATAGTATAGTGTAGTGTATAGTGTAGTGTATAATAGTATAGTGAAGTGTATAGTGTAGTGCAGGGGTCACCAAACTACGGCCCGCGGGCCGAATCCGGCCCGCGACGTCAGTCCATCAGGCCCGCCGACGGCACTTGAATTTGGTTGATAAAACGTATGGAACACTAGACGTTGTGATACAATTTAAATATTGTTTAGAATACTAGGAGATCTTCACGCGTGCGGAGACCTCCTGACTGCTACGTTCCTTAAATGTACTATTTTAAATTTTAAATTATTGTATCTAGATGTTCTTGTTTATTGTAATATTTGCTTATTTCGCGCCATCCCAAGTCCTTCCCCGTCTCGTGGTAGCTCCGCCCACGCTCTGACGTTACCATGGTTTCCATGGCAACGTCATGGCAACACGTTACCATGGTTTCCATGGAAACGTCATGGCAACACGTTGCCTTGGTTTCCATGGCAACACACACAAACACGCATCTTTCCCGCCCTCAAGTATTGAACAGAATGATTATGCGACCCGCGGTCGTCATTCTATCAGTTATCCGGCCCACTGTGAAACAAGTTTGGTGACCCCTGGTGTAGTGTATAGTGTAGTGTATAGTGTAGTGTATAGTGTAGTGTATAGTAGTGTATAATGTAGTGTATAGTGTAGTGTATAGTGTAGTGTATAGTAGTGTATAGTGTAGTGTATAGTAGTGTATAGTGTAGTGTATAGTAGTGTATAGTAGTGTATAGTGTAGTGTATAGTAGTGTATAGTAGTGTATAATGTAGTGTATAGTGTAGTGTATAGTAGTGTATAGTGTAGTGTATAGTGTAGTGTATAGTGTAGTGTATAGTAGTGTATAGTAGTGTATAGTGTAGCGTATAGTAGTGTATAGTGTAGTGTATAGTGTAGTCTATAGTAGTGTAGTGTATAGTGTAGTGTGTGTATAGTAGTGTATAGTGTAGTGTATAGTAGTGTATTGTATAGTGTAATGTATAGTAGTGTATAGTGTAGTGTATAGTGAAGTGTATAGTCGTGTAGTGTATATTGTAGTGTATAGTGAAGTGTATAATAGTGTAGTATATAGTGTAGCGTATAGTAGTTTATAGTGTAGAGTAGTGTATAGTGTAGTGTATAGTGAAGTGTATAGTAGTGGTATAGTGAAGTGTATAGTAGTGTAGTGTATAGCGTAGTGTATAGTGAAGTGTATAGTCCTGAAGTGTATAGTGTAGTGTATAGTGTAGTGTATAGTGAGGTATATACTAGTGTAGTGATTAGTAGTGTATAGTGTAGTGTATAGTGTAGTGTATAGTGAAGTGTATAGTAGTATATAGTAGTGTATAGTGTAGTGTATAGTAGTGTATAGTGTAGTGTATAGTAGTGTATACTGTAGTCTATAGTAGTGTAGTGTATAGGAGTGTATAGTAGTGTATAGTGTAGTGTATAGTATAGTGTAATGTATAGTAGTGTATAGTGAAGTGTATAGTAGTGTAGTGTATAGTAGTGGTATAGTGTAGTGTATAGTGAAGTGTATAGTAGTGGTATAGTAAAGTGTATAGTAGTGTATAGTGTAGTCTATAGTAGTGTAGTGTATAGTGTAGTGTATAGTAGTGTAGTGTATAGTGTAGTCTATAGTAGTGTAGTGTATAGAAGTGTAGTGTATAGTGTAGTGTATAGTTTAGTATACTAGTACAGCAACACCGGTGTGTTGGAGAGCCAAGCCACAGCATGTACAATCTGAGTACGACGTTTCGCCAGTAATTACGACTAGCTTCATCAGGCGACAGCCAGAATTTGTAAGGATAAAACCCCATTCTTAGATTTAGATGCTGGCCAAGGGAGGTCCCTTGATCAGCCAGCTTCGCTCAGCGAGAGAGGGGGGCAAATTGCTTCAGTATCACCCAGGGGGCTGTCTGTCCGGGACCGTGTTCCGGAGAAAAACAACAACAACCACAACAACCACAACAACCACAACCACAGACAAACAACGAAAGGAAAACCAAACGGCCGCGTCTCGCATCCAAACGTCGTGCTAGTTTGACGTGGGGACATTTTTGGTCGGGATTCTGAAAATCTTCCATGAGAGATTGAGATGGGGGGGGGCTGGTGGGGGGGGGGGATTGGGGGGGCCTGATGGGGGGTAGGGGCTGGTGGGGGGGGGGCTGGTGGGGGTGGGGCTGGTGGGGGTGATAGGGGGGGCTGATGGGGGGGAGGGGCTGATGGGGGGGAGGGGCTGGTGGGGGGGAGGGGCTGGTGGGGGGTATGGGGGGGAGGGGCTGGTGGTGAGGATGTGGGGGGGGTAGCTGGTGGGGGCCGGTCGGGGGGATGGGGGGGAGGGGCCGATGGGGGAGGGCACGGCTCGAGGGAAGAATACGGAGAGCGGGTTGGGGGTTCGCGGGGGGGGGGGGGGGGTGTGACGTCAGCGGCGTGTGGTGCAGCGGGAGGGGCCCCGTGGTTTTGCTGCAGCAGGGAGGGGAGGCCAACAGCACGATACAAGCTGCGGGTAAACATCTCTCTCTGTGTCTCTCTCTCTGTCTCTCTGTGTGTCTGTGTGTCTCTCTCTGTGTCTCTCTCTGTGTCTCTGTGTGTCTCTGTGTGTCTCTCTCTATCTCTCAGGGAGGGGGGAGGCCAGACTGCACAAGGCGAGCTGCGGGTAAATATCCCCCCCACCTCTCTTTCTCTGTGTGTGTCTCTGTCTCTATGTGTGTCTCTCTGTCTCTCTCTGTCTCTATGTGTGTCTCTCTGTCTCTATGTGTGTCTCTCTGTCTCTCTGTCTCTGTGGGTGTCTCGCTCGCTCACTCGCTCAGAGAGACACGCACACAGCATCACCACCACCACCATCCACACGGCGCTGCGGGATCGCCTCTCGCGCCCTGTCGTTTCGCTTGTGATCTTGGACATCATCATCAGCAGCAGCATCACCACCAACACATCAGCAGCAGCATCACCACCAACACTTGCAGCAGCAGCATCACCACCAACACTTACATCAGCAGCAGCAGCATCACCACCACCAACACTTACATCAGCAGCATCACCACCAACACTTGCAGCAGCAGCAGCACCAACACTTACATCAGCAGCATCATCACCACCAACACTTACATCAGCAGCAGCAGCACCAACACTTTGATCAGCAGCATAACCACCAACACTTACATCAGCAGCATCACCACCAACACTTGCAGCAGCAGCACCAACATTTACATCAACAGCAGCACCAACACTTACAGCAGCAGCAGGAGCTGCTGCAGTAGCAGCATCACCACCAACACTTACATCAGCAGCATCACCACCAACACTTACATCAGCAGCAGCATCACTACCAACACTTACATCAGCAGCAGCATCACCACTAACACTTACAGCAGCAGCACCAACAGTTACATCAGCAGCAGCACCAACACTTATATCAGCAGCATCATCACCAACACTTACATCAGCAGCATCACCACCAACACTTGCAGCAGCAGCATCACCACCAACACTTACATCAGTAGCAGCATCACCACCAACACTTACATCAGCAGCAGCATCACCACCAACACTTACAGCAGCAGCACCAACACTTACATCAGCAGCAGCACCAACACTTATATCAGCAGCATCATCACCAACACTTACAGCAGCAGCATCACCACCAACACTTACATCAGCAGCAGCATCACTACCAACACTTACATCAGCAGCAGCACCAACACTTATATCAGCAGCATCATCACCAACACTTACAGCAGCAGCATCACCACCAACACTTACAGCAGCAGCATCACCACCAACACTTACATCAGCAACAGCATCACCACCAACACTTACATCAGCAGCATCATCACCAACACTTACATCATCAGCAGCACCAACACTTACATCAGCAGCAGCACCAACACTTACAGCAGCAGCAGCTGCTACAGCAGCAGCAGGATCTTTATTAATAGCATTGCGGATTTGTAATCTTTAGCTGCAGCAGCAGCAGCTCCATCATCATCGTACAACGCCACCGGTATTGTTCCTGCTACGGCTATTCTCGAAATGGCCAGCGTTGTTATTTATTCTAGCATCGTCCTCATCAGCATCACCATCGTGATGATGCTGCTGATGATGATCAGCATCGTGATGATGATGCTGCTGATGATCAGCATCAGTTGTGTTGTAATGAGAATCGGCATCGCGTATCATGTAACCCACCGTCAGCATCCGTCTCGCGTTAACCCGTATCGCTGTAAACTAGTTGATAGTCATCGGTATGCAAATATCATCATCATAACCAGAATCAGCCGTAACAGCATCGCTGTGATCATCAGCATCATCTGAAGTATCATGGACACGGGGTGGCCCAGAAATCTTGTGACCCCCCCCAAAAAAATATGGACCCCCCAAAATATGTTTCCCTTCCCCCCCCCCGTTGCGTTTTAAATAAACTCTTACTTCAAAAAATATGATATATAAAGAAAGATTTTGATAATTAATTGGAGGTCACAAGATATCTGGACCACCGTGTCGACCCCATAAGCCGGTGTTATGATCAATGGTCCTATCGGTTATCCCTCGAATCGGCTGCTCACTAAATCATCATTATTGTTGTTGTTGATCGCTGTAAGTGTATAAATGTTGTCGTAACCAGCGGCGGGTGAAGCTGGTGGAGGATGATGTGGAGGATGATGTTGTGGAGGATGATGTTGTGGAGGATGATGTTGTGGAGGGCCCCTATTTAAATAAAGCAGTAAATATTCAAACAAACCTTCACCACCCGGTCGTTCTTCATAGAAGTCGAAGGCGGTGTAGTACTATAGTAATAGAGCAAGTGCAGAATCACTGAAACGGAGTCGATAGCTTGAAAACATTTAGCGCGGGGCGCCTTCAAGGTGCGGGGCCCGTAGCTACTACTACGCGTGTAGTAGTAGCTACTACTACACGCGTAGTAGTAGCTACTACTACACGCGTAGTAGTAGCTACTACTACACGCGTAGTAGTAGCTACTACTACACGCGTAGTAGTAGCTACTACTAGTAGCTACTACTACACGCGTAGTAGTAGCTACTACTACACGCGTAGTAGTAGCTACTACTACACGCGTAGTAGTAGCTACTACTACACGCGTAGTAGTAGCTACTACTACACGCGTAGTAGTAGCTACTACTACACGCGTAGTAGTAGCTACTACTACACGCGTAGTAGTAGCTACTACTACACGCGTAGTAGTAGCTACTACTACACGCGTAGTAGTAGCTACTACTACACGCGTAGTAGTAGCTACTACTACACGCGTAGTAGTAGCTACTACTACACGCGTAGTAGTAGCTACTACGCGTGTAGTAGTAGCTACTACGCGTGTAGCTACAGTGAGGGAAAGAAGTATTCGATCCCCTGCTGATTTTGTACGTTTGCCCACTGACAAAGAAATGATCAGTCTATAATTTTAATGTTAGGGTTATTTGAACAGTGAGAGACAGAATAACAACAAAAACATCCAGAAAAACGCATGTTAAAATGTTATAAATTTATTTGCATTTTAATGAGGGAAATAAGTATTTGACCCCTCTGCAAAACATGACTTAGTACTTGTTGGCTAAACCCTTGTTGGCAATCACAGAGGTCAGACGTTTCTTGTAGTTGGCCACCAGGTTTCCACACATCTCAGGAGGGATTTTGTCCCACTCCTCTTTGCAGATCTTCTCCAAGTCATTAAGGTTTCGCGGCTGACGTTTGGCAACTCGAACCTTCAGCTCCCTCCACAGATTTTCTATGGGATTAAGGTCTGCAGACTGGCTAGGCCACTCCAGGACCTTAATGTGCTTCTTCTTGAGCCACTCCTTTGTTGCCTTGGCCGCGTGTTTTGGGTCATTGTCATGCTGGAATACCCATCCACGACCCATTTTCAATGCCCTGGCTGAGGGAAGGAGGTTCTCACCCAAGATTTGACGGTACATGGCCCCGTCCATCGTCCCTTTGATGTGGTGAAGTTGTCCTGTCCCCTTAGCAGAAAAACACCCCCAAAGCATAATGTTTCCACCTCCATGTTTGACGGTGGGGATGGTGTTCTTGGGGTCATAGGCAGCATTCCTCCTCCAAACACGGCGAGTTGAGTTGATGCCAAAGAACTCCATTTTGGTCTCCTCTGACCACAACACTTTCACCCAGTTGTCCTCTGAATCATTCAGATGTCCATTGGCAAACTTCAGACGGGCATGTTTACGTGTTTTCTTGAGCAGGGGGACCTTGCGGGCGCTGCAGGATTTCAGTCCTTCACGGCGTAGTGTGTTACCAATTGTTTTCTTGGTGACTATGGTCCCAGCTGCCTTGAGATCATTGACACGATCCTCCCGTGTAGTTCTGGGCTGATTCCTCACCGTTCTCGTGATCATTGCAACTCCACGAGGTGAGATCTTGCATGGAGCCCCAGGCCGAGGGAGATTGACAGTTCTTTAGTGTTTCTTGCATTTGCGAATAATTGCACCAACTGTTATCACATTCTCACCAAGCTGCTTGGCAATGGTCTTGTAGCCCATTCCAGCCTTGTGTATGTCTACAGTCTTGTCCCTGACATCCTTGGAGAGCTCTTTGGTCTTGGCCATGGTGGAGAGTTTGGAATCTGATTGATTGACTGCTTCTGTGGACAGGTGTCTTTATACAGGTAACAAGCTGAGATTAGGAGCACTCCCTTTAAGAGTGTGCTCCTAATATCAGCCAGAAATCTTTCTGATTGAGACGGGGTCAAATATTTATTTCCTTCATTAAAATGCAAATCAATTTATAACATTTTTGACATGCGTTTTTCTTGATTTTGTTGTTGTTATTCTGTCTTTCACTGTTCAAATAAACCTACCATTAAAATTATAGACTGATCATTTCTTTGTCAGTGGGCAAACGTACAACATCAGCAGGAGATCAAATACTTTTTTTTCCTCACTGTACTACACATGTAGTAGCTACTACACATGTAGCTACTACACATGTAGCTACTACACATGCAGCTACTACACATGTAGTAGCTACTACACTTGTAGTAGCTACTACATTTGTAGTAGCTACTACATTTGTAGTAGCTACTACACATGTAGTAGCTACTACACATGCAGCTACTACACATGTAGTAGCTACTACACATGTAGCTACTACACATGTAGCTGTGTAGTAGTAGCTACTACACGTGTAGTAGTAGCTACTACACGTGTAGTAGCTACTACTTGTGCTACGAGGATCAACCGGCACTGGTCGTGACCCTCCACCACCCGACACAGCCAGCAAGGTTTGTCATGTAATGTCAACAAAACGTGCCAATTAGTTTACTACTTAAGTGTAAATGTTGTGGATTTACGCTCCAATAAACTGGGCGGGTGCTGCAGTAGGATACACACTATACACTACACGATATACTACACTACTATACACTACACTATACACTACACTATACACTACACTATATACTACACTATATACTACACTACTATACACTACTATACACTACACTATATACTACACTACACTATACACTACACTACTATACTACACTACTATACACTACACTATATACTACACTATGTACTACACTATACACTACACTATACACTACACTATATACCACACTACTATACACTACACGATATGCTACACTACTATACACTAGACTATAGACTACACTATACACTACACTAT